AGTAACCTTACTTTTTCTGTTATTTGTCCATAGTCAGAGAAGTTGTTGCAGAATCTGCCGGTTTTAGATCTGGAGCAGTTCTCACTTCTATTTCCACCGATGTTTCTTGTCAACGGCAAACATGACCGGGACTAAATTGTTTTTCGATCCTGGTCCCGGTCCCAGTAAAATTCTATTTTTTGGTCCCGGTCCCGCACATGTCTAGTCGCCACCGTAACAAATTCATATCGATCATTCTATTCTCTTCAATGACAATCAGAATTCTCAAGTATCCCAAAGTAGATGCAGCAGGTGAATATTCAAGTCATTTCGGTGAATTTTTCTTAAATACTCACCACAATCTCTGTATGTCGAGTGGAGAAAAGATCAAATGAGAAGAAATGAGTTGTCTCTTCGTTCACACATTCAACATTGATTTAGGTGTTTTTTAGATTTTTGATCAATCATTGGTATATATAGGCTATCGAGATATTTTTCAATGACATAAACATGCTGTTTCAAATCAGAAATTAACACTGATTCCAATTGATTGTCTTTCATACATATAATTATAAGTAAAACTATGAATTTTTCTACATACTGTATAGGTGTAGATATAGTTCAAACGAATATTCACGACCGTACACAATTCAAAAATCCTTTTTTGAGAAAAACACAAATAGGTTTCAACATGGTAATTCAATACTTTTTTTCCATAAACTGATACAAAAAAAGAGTATTCGAATAATTTATCATAGATCACCGGTTAGAACGAGTTCAATGAATGCATCTAAAGATCTACAAGGGAATTATTGTTTGTTTTCATATGAATATATTATGTTCATCAAGATATCAATAGAATCGCCTATAAAATGAAATACAGATTCACTTCAAAAACTTCAAAAATCGAAGTTTCTACAAAACAAACATTATTTTCTAAAGTATGAGGGTTCAGAAAATCCATGTTCAAACATAGACACTTTGTTCTAGCTAAGAAGCTATAAATCCATCAAAGAGAACAATTATTATCGAACTACTATTATTTACACATTGTATTGAAACAGTGATAAGATGATATTTCATTGCTTGATTTTCGACACGCGACATTGTCTAAGAACGTGTCAAAATGATGCAGACTGCTCATTCTAGTACTCGCCGCACTGTTTGACGAAACTCATATTTTTGAGATCGTTTTCTAGGTTTGAAGTGTTAGTCAGGAGAAATGATTATTTGATTGTTAATATTATGTAGTTCTAGCGAGTTGTCTGAAGTTTTATGATCATCGACAGAAATTGTCAGCATAATCTAATATTTTACAGTATTCCAAGGAGTAATACGATTTGTTAAACCCCTTTTTACGTTTTTTTTATTACTCTTTTGTTGTCATTATGTGTATACAGAAGTATTAGGCATATTTACTTTTCAAACTTGTGTTCATATAGTGAAGTAAAGAATGAGAACTATGTTTTTTGGGGAATATACTCTCTCATTCTTAGCCAGTGATGTTTTATGACAAGTAAAAATGAATCAACGGCAGTCAAGAAACAACATAGTGAGCAGCTTTTTAATTTTAGACTTCCAACAATACTAATTATTTTGTTCTACCTTTTTCTTCTCCTCAAATTTCTTTGTTTCTAGAAGTAGCGTTGTAATTATTCAAAAAGCAAGCATGACATTTGAAAGATTCTTCATCCGAGACTTATCGTTTTTGAAGAGTGTGCACTATTCATTCTCTTTTGTTTGATAGACTTTGTGCTTCTCAAAACGGCAGAAGAAAACTTCTGTATATTAGTATATATACTGTTATTGTTTGATGACAAGTGAGTATAGTCTAATATGCAAGTCTCAATCAAAGAAATGGAACAAAGTACTTGAAGGACCGAATTAGTGAATATCATTCTGCTACGATTTCAATACAATATTTGTCTTTCACTCGTTAATTATCCAACTAGAGCTTGTTGTTTTTCAATGGAAATCGGTTCTCATAGTTATACATTGATATGGAGCCAATGAATGCACATTGCCCTAATAGAATATGAGATGTTTTAGGAGATCGATGAATGGAAAAAGCATTGACCAAAAGAATATCCTTCTTACGTATTCCACCAACTATGTAAACAATCATCAATATTGTCAAGATGGAATTGATTCATAATCGTTTTAGATTATTATAAACTGAATTTACTCGAGAACATTGTTGTCTCAAATCAAACTTCTAAACTATTGGGCTTGATTGACATAACATAAATTGTTAATCTTGCAAGCTAGTTGACTTCGATACACGACTCTATCAACTAAGTAACGATCATTAAAACTTTCATTCTCAATTGAAAACAACAACTTCTTTGTTCGGCATAAGTTTTGATCACTAATGCGCACTTCGATTAAGCTCATCTTATGTGCTACAGCATTCATGGTGATAGTGACGTCTATTATTGTTGTAATGAAGCTTAATGTGAGAAAACAGAAGACCCTAAATGCACAATCAACATGTATGATACTCTGAATTGTTATTCTCACAGCTCTATTTCAACAGGGTGTGGGGGTGTGGGTGTGGGTGCAGGTGTGGGTGTGGCTGTGACTATGTGGGTACGAGTCTTTTGGGAGCATGGATCCACACCCAAACCTCACATCCACATCCACCCACATCCACCCACACCCACCCATACCCACACCCACACACCCACACCCATACCCACATTCACACCCACATTGCCACACACACCCACACCCACACCGATACCCACACCCTGCAATAATTCTTCTTTTCGAATCATATAAGTTGTAGTAAATAGTTTTTAGACACGTTTGTCAAAGCTGTAATAAATGTTACTGATTATATGTATACATTATAGTTCAAAGCTATACTAACCAAATATATTTTTTTGTCTAATAGTATTTATAACTTTCTAAATAGAATGAAAATAATAGAAAAAAAATATTTTGAGAAATCAACGTGTCTTTATATGTATTATGAAATATTTTTGACTATTTGTAATTAGCATGTTATCATACTTTAACGTATTAGATAAGTTTTTAATTGTTTAAACGGCGTAAACACATTAGAATCTCATTAGTCTTCATTATAAGTGTAAATACTCTTAAAGACAAACGAAAAAAGACAGTACGATAAAAAAATATTTCATTAAAAGTATACATTCAATTATTCTTTTGTATATAAAATAAAGGTTTTTAAAAACAATAAAAAAGAAATATTTCATTATAAGTGTCTTCATTGTCCTATAAACTGCATATTTCTTGTCTGCAATCTGCATTCATAACTTATTTGCTTTTCTACTCGATTCAATTTTACAGTCTAAAGACCTGGAATAATTTTTAAAATCATGCGTGATGAAACCAATATATGACTAAGCCATTATTTGGTCGACGTTAGAGTATATGATGCACTGAAGTGCGAAATTGTACATGACGTGTTTTTTTGTTGTGTTTTATTTGATAGGACACATCATTAGAAACACTTCAAGAGATAAAATATGAGTACGAAATTAAAGACAATTGGATTCACATAAAGAATGTCAATATAGCCGAGTAGAAGTATTACAAGAGAAATGAGTGTATGTCATATAATAAATGCTCAACACAAAAAATAAAATGTATTATAAACGATTTAAAATTATAATCCTAAATTGAATTAATACTTATAGGAGAGAAAAAGATATATTCTTTTTAAGGATCTGTAACCATCACTACTTATTTGTAGAATAAAATATTTCGTCTATAATAAGATAATATCCTTAAAACATAAAGAGTATGTTTATAATAATAATGTAATAATGTGTGTGAGTATTGTTTTTGATAATATCTACAAGCAAACCCACACGTTAGTTCTATTTTTCTGTTATTGTTACTTACTTTTATTTGTATCATATTTCTACTATCTTTATGACTAATAAGATATTTATTATTATTAGTGATTTCTACCTTGTAATTCAATCAATTTATATCTTGTACTTTTAATCAATAAGAGTTCTGTTCGTTGCTCATGGAAAGCAGGTGTTGGTGAACCAACTGTCTGTGGTACAACAGTTGTTGATTCGTGGTGAAAGTATAAACTTATTGTTAACACAATTATTGTTCAGAGTATGCACATTCCGCCACTTACATATCTTGATTATTAGGCATTTTGATCACAGGAATAATATAGAACGCATTGTGGTTTGAAGTCCCAATAAGATGTTGCATTTCTGTATTACTTGTTCGGAAAAAGGCTTAGAAATGAGACTATTATTTTCTTGGTGAGAAATATAAAATGGAAATGTTATAATGAAACCAGAGATATTTTAATTACAGCGTCAAACTGTTTAAAGATCTTTTTTCAACTTTTATAAAAAAAACATATTCATCAAATAAGTGAAAAACATGAAAATCACAAATTAAGGATCAATTTTCTTATAAACAGAAGCGATCGGACGAGTTCCTAGTTTGTCCTTGCTACAATTTAAGTTGAATCGTGTTTACGCAACTCTTCAATTTTATCAAGAATTACTAGTTGATGCTCTATATTCTTGATTCCATAGTCAATGAGACTATGTCTGTCAACCATATTTTTGAGCCAAAATCCATCAACACATTGTTTCTTGATGGCAGGCACATACTTTGTATATTCATCACCCAATGAAATAATCCAACGGCAAACATCATCACAGGTTTCCAAATTTTTGTTAAAATCATCTGCTATAAAAAAAAGAAAGTATCACGACATAATTCTCAACATACTCGTCAGAAAAATGACTGAAAGTTAATCATGTGAATTTTTTTGCAACTCGAACTTCCCCTGATCTAACTTAATCGAATATAAAGTTGTTACGTTTAGATACAGCCATGCAAGTATGGTCTTGCAATGGCTTTAAATGAGTGAAAGGTATATTATTTTCTGCAACACGGTGCGAACGAAAATCAACATTGTCACCATAACTTTACTGTGGTGTAAGAGCTTTAGGAGTACCATTCGGTTGCATTATATTTAGAGTGTGTTTCCTGGACTCACTTTGTTCTTCTCCACCCTTTGTCTGAAGAACGAGCTTGGACTTGGATTTATGATTTTTCGTAGAATGTGCTTGAGCGATTTGTGGTGAATAAGGTTGAGAAACCGATGTGTTCGTGTTGGAATCTTGATGTTGCTTAGTAGATACGTCCATGGTAATATTTGATTGTTGTTGTTGATTGCCAGAAGCAGTCACCGTCAAAGGTAGTACACTATTTGGGTTCCATCTTTTCGCTTCATATGCAATCCATTTGCTCAGGCATTTTATAAAGCTGTGACCGTATAGATATTTCAACCATTTTTGAGGTAATCGACCGTAGCCATAGTAGGCACCGGCTAATTGGCCATAGATTGCTGCTGTTGTGTCAGTATTATCACCAAGATTAATAGCAGCGAGAACACCTTTCTTAAATGAATATTCATCATAATAAAAGGCCCACAAAGCGGCTTCTAATACGTGGACAACATATCCTGTGCCTCGAATACCGTCCTTGTATCCATTCTTTTTTTTATAAGATCCTTGGGCGACTGTCATAATGTCGGGATGAAGTGGTTCATGATTAAACCAATCTATATGTTTGGAATAAAAATTGTCGTCGAGCAGTTCTTTTTTGCTCTTGCCACTAAGAGCAGCCACAATAAGAGCACCGTAATAACGACAAGCATCATAAGCACGTTGATCATCATGAGTTAATTTTGAATTGTATCCAGAAAAGTGGACTGCATACTTGGGATAACGGTAGAAGAAGAGTGGCACAGGAGCGAGTCGCATTAAAGCACCACTGCCAGCTACATTTTTTTCACTACAGAATACATTGAACTTATTTGAAACTTCCGAAGGTCTAAGATAGTCTAACTGTTCAAGAGAAATATTGTAGGCGCTAGCAAAATTATTTTGACGGTTTTCAAATTCAAGTAATGCTCGCTTGATAGATGCACCAATATCAAAGCATTCTCCTACAGAGGACATGTAACCTGTCTTAAACCACCATTTGTATCGAACGAGTTGGTCATAAGGAAAAAAACCTTGATGTGCTACCAATGAACTTGCCAGACATAGAGCCATAGACGTATCATCGGTGAACTAAATTTATGAGAGAAGCAATTGACTTCAAGTTTTTGAAACAATAGATAATTTAGAAGAATTTTTTCGAGTATGTTGATTAAAAAATTCAATAACAACATATCTATAATTATTAAAAATTGTTTTCCTCTCTGAGCTTATCTACGAAGTATCTTAATGTATTAAAATATATTCGATAAAACTAGGCTTGGTGTTATGTGCGTTCTTAGAAGTATTACAATGGAATATAATTATTTTCTAGGACATCCCCTACCCTCTTTAAATTAATATAAAACAAATATATTCCTGTCAACATATTTTATTAAAATAAATAAATATACAATGCAGGAACCATCTATAAATCACGTTAAAATAATAGATTAGAACACTTAAAAAAACAATTCATATGACTTCCTATTTATACATGCTCATGAACTTCGTTACTGTCGCTCAAAAGAAAAATACTCATTTGTTAACTTTTTTCATCAAAGTACTGCTCTCTATGCAATTAGTTTTTAAATAACAAGTTGAAAAGTTCAGAAGATGAAATCAATCCACATAATGTTCATGATCCGGATATAAATGTTTTTCTCTACAGGAACTTAAGACGGAGAATAGTTATAAAACCTTTTCATTTTTAATTTGACATTCTTCTAGGGGAGTATTGCAGCTCAGTAATAGTCTCAATCTGTGGAAGTGTTAAATAGTTCCTTGGATAAAAACTGATCTAATCGCTAAGTCAATGTTTGCACACGCCCGCAACAAATGGATTTCACTTAAGACGACCGAAAAGATGTAGGAAAATCATTGTACTCGATAGGAAAACACGGAAAATCGATGAAACATAGAAGCAATATTTCAGATCGCAAAGTCTTTAGATTTTCCCAATAGTTTAACGACCATTTCTTTCTAAAAAGAATACAAATTTGGCAGAAATTCATCGGAAAAACCCAAAGACTTTGCGATCTGGAATGCTGCTTCCAAGTTTAATGGATTCTGGGTATTATTCTGTTGAAAGTGGCTCATATTTCTTGATCTGAATCATACAGTTTTCTCAAGAAGTTCATTTCGCTTTTTGGGTTAGAACTGTTCGAGATCTATATCTTCTAAAGAAAAAAAGCGGGCCGAATGATTGCAAGATTCGTTTTCATTTGATTTAACTTACTATGTGCGATCATCGAGTATTCAGTATTATTTAATGCTGTATTTTGTCTCTTTATGATATCGACTGAACCAAAAACGTAACAGAATTTGTTACTGTATTCTTCTATTTTCAAATTGGTGAGCACTAATCGTATACTAGAAAATTTGACTGAAAATGTATGAATATCCTACATCTAGTATCAAAAACATTATTTATCGGTGGTCACTTCACATAAATGGAAGAATCAAGCCTAAGAAGCTCCTATAATGTGAAATAAATGGTTTATGCTTTTCAAAGTGATGAAATTTTCTTGGTAGTTGTTATATTTGGAAAAAAAACTAGCTGAAAAACTTGTAGGTAAAAGAATAATTTCTGACGAATTATTAAGTTGTAATCTATGTCAAAAGTTAAAGTTGAGGGACAGTATTTTTATCTAGGACCTGAGCTTTAGTCAATGCTAATTAAACCAATGGTAAATAAATTAATATAGATAGAGCTTACCTCTCCTTTTCGGAGTCCCAAAGAGCCGCCACCTCGGAGATCTGTAACTGGGTATTGAGTCAAAAATGATGCATGTTTAAATTTAACACGAGCACCAAAAGCGTCACCTAGAGCCAAACCTGCCATTGAACCCAGTACGAGATCTAGTATGACTTTGGGAACAATCTCTGGCGGGTCTATCAGTTGGTTTTCGAGCTCATGAGGTTTCTTAACCGTTCCGTTTGACTGATACTGTGGATAAAGCCATAATTTTTCTAAAACACATAAAACATTGCTTTTTAATTCGTTGGTTATTTTAGTTCTATCGGAAACAGTTTTTCTTGCTAGCAGAAAAATTTTATCCCATAACAAACAATCTTTGTATGCACCCTCTTAGAAGTTATATGAACAAAGCATATTTAAATTTGTCATCTGCTTAAAAAAAAACAGATAAAATCACAATCCTAACAAACAGAACTAAGTTGTCACAAAAATCAATCCGTTCAAGAAGTCAGTGTGACGAATAATTTTCAATGCCTATTTATTCTTATTAACTCCACTAAGATTGTGAACCCGAAATAACTTAGTCAAGTTTCGTATGTGATGTTTTTGATCAAATCTGTTCTGCTTCGAAGATTTTAATATTTCGTTATCAATGGCAGTTTATATCAATAATGTTAGGGTGGTGGGTGTGGGTACCTGAGTGTGCGGGTGGGGTGTGGGTGTGCTTCTTCTTTTAACGCACAAAGACCCATACACATCCACACCCCCACACCGACCCACACCCACACTCACCTACCCTACTTAAGAATTGACGGGCAAGAAAGAGTAGATTAGTGGAAGGGTGAGAGTGATCATCATGAGAATTTTTTAAAATCTCATCCAGAGGTCGTCGAGCTTTTTTAAAAACAATGATTTCGAGAAGTTCGACATGATAGAATTAATAGGTTTGAAAAGATCCGAAAAGATTTCTTTTGACAAAAGTCAGGCCTAGTTCGGCTAGACTTCAACGGAAAACGTGACTTTCTATCGCACTTCGATACCAAATATACGCGTTGGATCAAATCACATAAAGATTTAAAGAACGATCGGATTCTATTGAACACTATTTTATTGATGAAGATAATTCATGAAAAAGAATTTCATTTAAAATTAGCAAGCATTCCTAAGTATTTATCAAAATTTCGTTATTGAAACTTTCTCTCTATCGATTAGGTATTTTTCTACAATTACCTAATTTCTATCTCTATTGTATATACACAAAGCAGTATTCAGACATTTTTTGATTACTTTACGGGTGCATCATACAGAAACCTTATTTCATTAAAAAAAAGTAAAAAATAATTTACCTGATGTACTTTTAGTTGATAATGTTATTGCCGGTTGGATTTCATTCATAACAGATATCAATGTTTGATCATTGTTGTCATCGATTTCAATTAAATGTACAACAAGTGGACCATACGAAAGATCTAAAGGATTGCTTTTCACACGGAAACGGGAGCCCATTCGTAAAATAATTTCATCTTCATTTTCATATCCTGTATATCCAGAAATTTGTATTCCTTTAACAGCTTCAATCATAAAAAAGCGTTGAATTTTTGTTGTTGTCAAGAAAATTTTTAATAACACCGACTGATAACGAACATGAACTTACACTCCACCATGTCAGCATTTGGTCTTTAGTGAAGTTTTTTCCGATATCAAAAGGTATACCTCTCCATACCGCCCCTTTGACAGTAGGTAACTTGTCCAATGCTGTGTCAAATAATTTTAAATATGGAAACCATATCTTTAATGCTTGTCGATTTTCAGATCGTAATGCTTTATTTAACATATGATACAAAGAAGTATTGCCCCATTCCATTGTATAGATATAAACAGCAGCTGATTGATCATGTGTTAGTCCACGTTCTGACGGAAAATGGCAATTTCGTTTAGCTATCTTTATAAAACGAGGCAGTTCATTAATCTGAGGTTCGATAGGCTCTAGTGCTTTTTCAATTGGAACAAGTTTTTCAACATGATAACCATAAACAGGTGGAAGGTTTTTAAACGAAGTATCGATATCACCAAAACGATTCATCATACGTGTGTTTTATATGCTGTTACACGTTGATAAAAGTATGATTGTTACGAATTCGAAGTAATTGCTGAAATTATTTTTGATGTGTTTTTCTATAGAACATTACAAAACATATTTTATGAGCATTTTCTCTTTCTATAAAATAATATAAAAATGAACAGTTTCCTTTTTTTTCTAATAGTCTGTTCGTGACATTGAGAAGGAGAGTATAAACACTGTCAGCAGGCATTATTCTGTTTCTTAAAAAATTGTCTTCAAGTCACTTATATAAAATTCTGATCTACTTGAAATGTACTGAATCATTCACAAACATTGATTAGTATGGGGTAGCATTCTGCAATTTACAAAATAGATAAAATCGTCGCAAAATCAACAAAAATAACAAAAAGACATGTTGTGATTACGTCATTAGCACAAGCAGAAAAAATGTCAGATATACAGTTTTCGATGATAGCTCGATTACTTCTAAAGGCATATCCACCATTTTAGAGCTCAAATGATCACTTTCCGCATAAATGTTTACGTAGTTGTTTAAATCTCTTGGAAGATTTACAAAATAATATTTTCCCAAAACGTAAGTATATTTTCGATGATTACTGTAATAGGATAGAGCTTAGAATATAAACGAAATGATTCGATATAGTTTTCCAGAACCCAAAATCGGTCAATCTATCAATCAATATCAATAACAGAAATTGAACTTCTGTAAACCAGCAATAAACCAAACAATAGAAAAGAATAGATCCACCCAGCTCAATTTATGGTTTGAAAATTTATGAAGAGAAAATCGTACTCTGGTGTGAACTGACGTGTTTTTATGATTATTGCCCATAGCGTACAAGTTTTAGTCAATGAATAATTTTTGACTCACAGAACGATTTTAAAATTAAAAAAAAACGATTATCTAACTGCGTCCTTCTTAGATGTTACAAACGTTATAACTAATGAGAATTCTAAAGAAAGGGGGGGGGGGGGGGGTTGATAAGTGATGAAATCGACCCCCTCGAGAAATTGGATTTCTTACTTGCAAAACTATCACACATGATGTTGGAAAGCGATTGATAGTAGAATTAGACCTATCACACTTGTCTGTACTGTACCCAGGCTGTTAGAATAGTCCATGGCTCTCATATGTATAGCATATTCGACCGTTCATGATAATTAGTTGTTTTTGGCTATGAGTATGGTAACCGATTAAGCAGATTTTCATATGATTCGATAGAGCTTTTGAAGGGCTACAAAATTCTATAAAAACATCCAGAAAAAAATACTGACAGATATTACTTCATAAAGAGTATATTCCTCCAATATGTCTTTGTCACGAGTATTGTTAACTGAATTATGTATCTAGGTCAACTAATCTGATCACCCGCCAGACTAGTTTTTATATGGTTCGACAGATATTTTGAAGCGCTGCAAAATGATGTAAAAATATCGAAGGAAAAAAATACTGGCCGCGTAAAAAATCCCCGAGGATACTGTTCTCTGGTCATGATTTTGAGTGTTTTTCACTAGTACTTGATTGATTTTGATCAAGAAAAGTACTATTTGAATAAAAACTAATATTATATTCGGAGTCAGCGCCTAAAACTGAGTAGGCTTATGTAAAAGTTAAATCATTTTAACGCTTTTTTTTCGTCGAAAAATTCACCCCTCGTCCCCCTCAGGGTTAAGTCAAAAAATGAATCTCATCGAAAACTTGTTTCATAAGTGGAAATCAATTTCTATAGCGATATAATGACGATAGCACTCAGAAGAGCGTATAATCAAACAATAAAAGTGTTGTTTTCGCGAGATTCATTTTTTGACTTAATCCTGAGAGAGACTAGGGGTGAACTTTTCGACGAAAAAAAAAGCGATAAAATGATTTAACTTTTACATAAGCCTACTCAGTTTTAGGTGCTGACTCCGAATATAATATTAGTTTTTATCCAAATAGTACTTTTTTTGATCAAAATCAATCAAGTACTAGTGAAAAACACTCAAAATCATGACCAGGAAACAGTATCCTCGGGGATTTTTTACGCGGTCAGTATTTTTTCTTCGATATTTTTACATCATTTTGCAGAGCTTCAAAATATCTGTCGAACCATATAAAAACTAGTCTGGCGGGTGATCAGATTAGTTGACCTAGATACATAATTCAGTTAACAATACTCGTGACAAAGACATATTGGAGGAATATGCTCCTTATGAAGTAATATCTGTCAGTATTTTTTCTGGATGTTTTTATAGAATTTTGTAGTCCTTCAAAAGCTCTATCCAACCATATCAAAATCTGCCTAATCGGTTACTATATTCATTGTCAAAAACAGCCAATTATCATTAACGGTCGGATATGGTATACATATGACAATCATTGACTATTCCGACAACCTGGGTACAGTATAGACAAGTACAATAGAGCTAATTATACTATTGATTGCTTTCCAACACCTTGTGTAATAGTTTTGCATAGAAGAAATCAAATTTCTCGAGGGGGCCGATTTCATCACTTATCGACCCCCTCCGTTCTTTATTTGTTCAGATCGACTACAAGTAGAGTGAATAGACATGCAAAAAGACGAAAATTTTTTCAATACTCCAAGTTAATCTATAGTGTGGGTCTGGGTGTACATGTGGGGTGTCGGTTGGGTGTAAATATGGGTCTTCTTTCCACTAACATTTGCGTCCATGTTCAATTCACACTCGCATAAAAACTCGCATCCAAACCCACCTCCACACATCCACCCCTCACACCTTTGATCAGAAAGTATTAGATCAATGTTTAGATCAATGTTTAGAGCAGAGAACTTACACAACGACTAGAGGTTTGGAGTTGGAAACTTCTTAGTGCATATCCCTTGATCCTTTAAACTACAGAGATTATTAAAAACAAAACAAATTGGCCAACTTTAGTGCCCAAAAAATCAATAAAAAACTCGCAAAAAACCATTGAAAATAGGCCGGTTTTAAGTGTTCAACCGGCTCGAGTTGATACTGGTTTATGGATCCGGTTTCAAATACGATTTAGACAGTTGAATACTTTCACAAAAGGTTTGCGCGAAAATAAACAAATAAATATTAGGTATCTATTTCTATATTTTCTTCTCTCTCTCCACTTGACACTATTTTGCCTAGCTTTTTTCCTTTATGACAACGTTTTCTTTGGGGTATTGAAAAGTTTTCTGTGCTTTTTGGTGGTACATATAGGAAATTGGACATTATTTTATGACAACCATAAATTATATATTATAATCATCATTTGCATAGTCAAATGATATCGATTGACTTAAAGAGAATCGAAATTCTTGCGAGAATTAATACTTTTTCATTCAACCTATATACATAATTAGTACAACGCGTCAGACTGATATGATAACGAGGTTATACGACAGTACACTAGTTGAGGTTGTCACGTGAGTAAGCCCACACACCATGATATTATCCTCTACATTTTCTATACAGACTGATATTTAACTCTCTCTTTTCAAGTCCAGAAACTAACTGTAACCTTTAAATGAAAACGATAAGAAAGTGTATGTAGATTAACTCAACCGAAATACATTTGATAAACTATTCAGCTGATTTAGTCTCTCATCCAATGAGAACATCCTACGAATTATAATATTTTACCTCGAAGATGTCATGATACTTCACTTATGAATTACAGTCAATGGAAATCAATATTAATGTGCCAGTGAAGTCAGTGGCCTGATTCACCAGTGACGCCGAGGATGTCAGCGCATCAGTGATCCGTAATGCACCGGTCGTCGGTGTTCCTGTGACGTCAGTGTCAGTTTGTTTGATACTTCAGTAATCAGTGACACTGAGTCTATCGGTGTGCACTGAGCGTCACTGTCGGTGTCAGTCGGTGTTCAGTAATCTGACGCCGTACATCCATAAGCTCATAAGAATTTATAATATTCACAAAGCTTGATTGGATTATTAACTTAATAAGAAGAAAATAGAAAACACTCATGTAACACGGCAATGTCAGGTAATTTCAAAGTTATCGTCACCATTCTCACAGCAAAATGCTCAACTTAAACTATCTGGTCTGTTCCTTACGCTTAGCTGTGCTGTATGGTACAAAGTATTTCAGGTTGATTTTGAAACAGTGCTAGAACACGCGAAGATTTTTACCTTTTTCTCGTCAACATGAAGACTTTACTATTGAATCGATAATAGTTTCGTATCTTCTGTTATCAGGTTCTTAGTTATTTTATGTTGACAGTTCAACGCTTATCTTTGATTAACTAAATGTGGTGTATAGCATTGATCATAAATGAAAGCATACTAATTATTTAATATATAGACATTGTCAATAAATTGACGCTAATTAAAATAAGCAATAAGTGTGAGATGGATACACCACAGTGAATGAGGAAAACTAATAACTAACAAACATTCAAACAATCTATCGTTCAAAAGGAAAGTCGATCATTGTAATCGATTTCATAACTGTCTCAATCTTGTCTAATGTGCAGATCATATTGGCACAATACGTGTGATTTAATAGACTTGTTTCTATTTTTGACATTATCCTAATAAGTTACTCACAATGACGAAATGAACAAATATTCAATATACGGAGAAAATTTTGTGTTGAGACGCTGTTGATTAGACTCGATGTTGTGTATATAACACCGTCTACTTGTTTCACCGAATGATTCTTCTTTTTACGTACCTATGCGACAAGGCAACTTTATTCACTTCTTACTATTCGTTATTTTGGTTAATTTTCGTTTTTTTTCGTTTTTTTCTCACTACACGCTCCATCACGAACAGGCCCATACAAAAAGGTGTACAGAAATGTGCATACCATGATAAATGTGCACAAAACGATATGCTTCAGTGATTTCCACATAGTGAATATTGTGCACGGAATAAAAAAAAACATATACCTGAAAAAATATCAGAAACAGCAAAAAGGAAGTAGAAAAAATTAATTTTTTTTTACTGTGAAACTCGTAATATATTATATTTATATATAAACAAGAACCCTCGAAAAAAATTCGATT